CCCCTCCTCCTAGGATTGACAAGAAATCTAACCTTAGGCATTTTTAAGCCACCATCTACCCCACCTACCAACAAGCAAATGCTGGGGCTTGTGAATCTATTTGGGAATTGCTCAGCCTTTCTTAGGTGCAGAGCCTTGGCATGTACTGTCCAACCCAGATAGTTTATTCCATGATGGATACATCAGTTATTCATGGAGTAACATACTCTGCTAGAACTTTTGTTCTCAAGGCCACCGTGTTTTATGTCCAATGCACAGCACTGGTCCATCAGGAGCCCTAGGGTTCCAGCATCCCGCATGGTCTCACTTCTCCCGTCCCCACTTGCTAGTCCTTCAATGTCAGCCCCTGCAGTTCCTCCCATAAAAGAGATCTCTGTAACAAAGCCCCATCATTCTCTCCTGGGGCAAGGGAATCTCAGACTGCTGTACAAAATCCCCAGATACACTCAGTTAGTGGAGATGGAGAATGAAGATGGGGAAAATGGAAAATTGTATTTTCCCCCAATTTCATCCTTCTATGGAACAAGCTAGTTTGATTGCTGATCACATAAAAGCATGCTGAAAGATTTGGTAAATACAACTACAAAATTGTTCCAGAAAAAAAAATGCAGGAAAGAGTTTTTTTTTTCTTTTGTAAACTGGGGACAAGCAAGAAGAGAGATGTAGGGCTAGAAAAATTCTATTTCAGCTGAATGAAAGTCTGATGTGGCTCTCCCACTGCACAGTTCTGAAAATAATGCAAGTCATTATCGTTCATAAACGGGGAAAAAGGCCACATTCACAATAAACCCACTTCATTTCCTCCTGTTTCAGCATTTGCTACTTTCTTGACCTGTCTTCCAATTCAATACACTCAAGCAAGATGGACTGAGGGAAATGAGAACAATTTTCCACCTTCTGAAAGTCTTCCTGCATGACCTTTCAAGATCTCTCAAGTCTGTTACTCAGGAGGTTAGACTCGAAACTCTGCTGGTTTAGAGACTCTCACCTTTGTGCAGAAATTCTGTAACCTACTGGATTGTTCTGCTGTTATTTCCAAATGACCCATGACTCATTCTTCATCTACAAGTTTATATAACTTTAGCATAAATTGCATAAAGCACATTTTTAATCTCTTGTATGTTTTTATACTGTTTACTTTTTCCGTGGAAGCCAAGAAAGAATTCTCACATGTCTGACACATTGCAGAGATGTGGTTATTCTGTATTCTCAATCTAAATCAAGTGTTCACAGTTCAACAGAAAATGCTTGAAGCAAGGGATTACAATGCATATTTATATTCAGATAATAAAGTAAATTCATGTTATGTGAGGAATACGTGATCCATAAGTTCTAGAATTTAATTACTTAGTATGTTTTCAAAACAGGCAGCTACTCTAAAATATGTCATTGTTAAAAAGTAGTTGGGGGTCAGTGCCATGGTGAAGTAGGCTAAGCTACCACCTGTGGCACAGGCATTCCCAACGGGTACCAGTTCAAGTCCTGGCTGTTCCACTTCTGATCCAGTTCCCTGCTTGTGGTCTGGGAAAAACAGTGGTGTATGATCTAAGTCCTTGAACCCCTAAACTCACATGGAAGACCCAGAAGAAACTCCTGGCTCCTAGCTGTGGATCAGCCCAGCTCCTGCCATTGTGGCCATGTGGGGAATGAAACAGCAGATGGAAGATCTCTTCCTCTCTTTCTATCTCTCCTCTTCTCTGTTAACTGTGTCTTTCTTTTTAAAAAATGGTTGGGATTTTGACATACTGTGTTTCGTTTACCTTTTTTCAAACTCTCTTCCCTTCATATAAGCAGAATGTCAGTTCTTAGCTCATTGTCTTAAAGGAGGGTTCCTAAGGGATTTCCTGACCTAAATTTCCAAGGGAGCCAGGAGTAAGAACTAAGCCTTTAGGCTGAGAAAATCTACTGAGGCCTTCCCAGAGTATCTGAGACAGAGTCAAGCGGGGGCGGGTTCACTTGCCATCTCACCCTATCAGCAGCCAGAGAAGAAAAGGGAGGAGAGAGGGAATGTTCCCAACACCCACACAAAGACATTTCTGCAGCCCTGGAACTTCAGAGAGGCAGGAAACTATGACGCAGCGACTCCATTACTGTCACCGGAACATGCCAGAAAAGGGCCACCTCTGCAGTACATGGGAAGGCTGAGGACCAAGGGCTGTCGGGGAACCACCATCTCCCAGACCAATGAGACCAGACAGATCATCAACGCGTGTGCTCTCTCTCTTTGGACCCCATTCTAGAAAAGAAAGGTAGAGTCAGAGCTTGGTGGACATTGCTTCCACTACTGTAGCAGAATGAGAGCTGCTAATATAAATGGTGATGATGAACTATAGGGCAGACAACAATAACTGTGTATTGTGATTCCTGTGTATGCTGAAGGAAATATTTGATCATCACAGCACACTTTCTCAGGGAGGCAAGGACGTAGGGAGGCAGGGTGGTGGGGCTTCATTCACTGAGTTTTTCTGTCTGTACATCATTATAAAACCAGTGCACGGGTCCAGTGCAATGGCCTGGTGTCTGGATCCTCATCTTACATGCACCAAAATCTTACATGGGCACCAGTTCATGTCCTGGCTGTTCCACTTCCCATCAAGCTTTCTGCTTGTGGCCTAGGAAAGCAGCAGAGGACAGCCCAGAGGTTTGGGACCCTGCAGCCACGTGGGAGACTTGGAGGAGGTTCCTGGCTCCTGGCTTCGGAATGGCTGAGCTCTGGCAGTTGTGGCCACTCATAGAGTGGACCAACAGATGGAAGAGCTCTCTTTGTGTCTCCTTCTCTCTGTATATCTGCCTTTTCAATAAAAATAAAATAGATCTTTAAAAAATCAGTGCACTTTGCAAATGCTTAAAAGCTACCAATGTTGCCAATGAGTAGTTGCACTACTCACTAGGTCAGAAAGGAAAGTGATTATTTTGCAGACAAAAACAAAGACCTAAACTCAAAGCATAATGCCACATAGTGCAGCAGCTTAGCAATAACAGTTTTGTTTCATTTTCTAATAAATCCTGGAGTCCTCTGACAGCTTTCTAACCACTCAACAGCATAAAATGCTCAAAGCCAAAGTAAGTTGTATCTCTTCGAATGGAATCAGAAAGTCCTGGGAACTCTGCTTCTAGATTTAGTCTCACCAGTTTGTTGGCCATTTTTTAAATTTGGACTCAAGGACTGTTTTCATGTCATGCCCTGCACTGAAGCCAGCCAAACATGCAGAACCTGCCCTAAAGTGACCACAGTTGAGCACACCTGTTCTCAGACCTGGCTTGACTCAGCTTTCCAGCTCCACCTGCACGGTAGGGAATGGAGTTCTACTATCTGATTTGAGCATGCCTTTTTTTCCAGCTCCTACAGTGGGCCCACGGAGCTGGGAGAGACACCCAGACTTTCCCTCTGCCCCCAGCAATGGGCATCATTCCCCCAGCAGGTAGATTCCTGACCACCTGGTGCCCATCCACCCACTGGCCTACTCCAGCAGGTTTTCACCAGTGCCCCAGTAAGCATTTCCATTGGCCCTGGTCTTCTAGAAATCAACCTTGGGTAGAGGGAGCACTTCAAATTAGTTCTGAACTGGTTACCACTGCCTAAACTTAGTATTTCTGTATTATTGAGTTCTCCCACATTTCCTTCTTTTTGGTAACGAATCATTTTTTCTTCATTAACAGCAAGGACATATTCCCTAGTCATGTGATAGTAGTGGCTTCTAATTCCTAATGAAGAACGTGGGATTGTTCGATTATTTCAGTAGTGTTCTTGGACTTAAGTGGAGTATTGAAGCCCTTGCTGGAGGAAATGAGGTGTGATATGTATCCGCCATGGGTTTCCAGAGAGGCTATCGGTAGCACATATGTTTACATGTTGTGTGTGCATAGGTATGCACATACTCATGGAAATGTCAATGTATTCATGGGAAAATACAACTAAAAGACAATATTGATTCCTATAAACCTCTTGAAATGGAACTAAAAGATAATGCACATTTGCCACAAGCTTACTGATTTTTCAAAAATGCTTTCATATGCACTAATCATACACATTTATGGACTACAGTGTGACATTTCACACTGTACGTATACAGGAATTGGCTCACACAATTTTGGGGGCTGGTAAGTTTGGAATCTGTGGTATAGGCCAGGAGGCTGGAAACTTAAACACAAGTCAAGGTCACAGTCTGGACAAGTTTATAAGTCAGAAAACCAGGCAAGATTTCTGTGTGGGAGAAACGAGGAAGTTGTTTGAGGAAGAATGCCTGTCCCAGGAAAAGCCTCACATTTTCCCTAAAGTGTTTCAAGTTGATTGAGGCCTGCCCCGCATGCAGAGGATCGTCTCATTTAGACAAGGCCAACTGGCTGTAGGCATTAGACACACCTACAAAAATGCCCTGACTTCATCTTAACACCTATGTCAGCATCCGACTAAATTCCTGGGCACTGTAGACTAACCAAGTTAACAGAGAAAACTAACCATCCTGGAATGCGAGAAACCCATGGCCTGCATTGGCACCCCAATAAGGCTACCCCGTGTGCTTGAAGAGGAAGCATTTTGCAGCTGGTATCTGGGGAGCCGAGTGTTTTCCCCACCAAACCGTCACACTAAAGAGGACTACAAGGACCCTGGAGAGATGTATTTTCCTGAGTTTCTTTGAGCACCTACAGGGGAAAAATAATGGAGTTGAGGACAAGTTCATGTGCTCTAACCTGACTCTAATTGTCTCCTGAGAACCAGTCCTTTTTCCTGGCAGTTCTCAGACATCTCATTTATTGGAGCCTAAAACAAAACCCAGCGTTTAATAATGAAGTTTACTACATTTGAGCATCAATTTGATTCAGAGTCACACCAGTATCTTTTATGAGAGTTAAGGCACTGACTTGAAAGTAAAAGCTGTGTTGTGTGGAATGCTGACATCTGATTGTATTGAAATGAACTGACACTCTTGAAGCCCCACATCACTCTGAGGTTCTGTACCCCTCTGTCTGAGGACATCAGCCTTTCTTTGTGTGGGACCCCTATGACAGCGCCACACAGCGAAACTGACCTGAGAGGAGATGTTTATCCTCCTTAAGACCTGCCATGACCACACTATCCATTGCAGCTGCTTGACTGATGGTAGGGTTGATTCTCAGGGATTTAGGAACACACTATAATGCATAATAAGACAGCACACTCACCAACAGAATTCCAAGATTTCAAAATAAGTTAGAAATTCCAGAATTTTGCTAAATACGTTATCCCAATTTATTGGCCTGGGCATATTTGCTATAGAGTCTGAGATCAATACACTGCTTTGTGAATCTAGAAGCAACTCCAACAGCTCATGTGGCTAATTGATGAAAATCTAGCGTCAAGAGTGGCCCATGTTTATTAAGTTTGGCATGCCAAGAGAAACAAATGCCCTGGCTCTGGGAAATAGGAATGTGGAAGATTTATTATGTATGACAGAACACCTGCTTCTCAATTATATCCATCAATAAGGGCCAGTATATTCCCTCCATTAAGGGATACATACATGACTTGTCATTGCTCCCTTTGCAGGCCAGAGATGACCACAGAAGATGCCACCATAAAGATCGAGGCGCTTGTCTTTCAATGGATGATGGGATTTTAGAGAAAAAAGAAACACAAGGCAGCAATTAACCACCAAGTACAAGACAGACACATTTATCTAAAGGCCTCCAAAACCAGAATTTCTCACACACAAAAAAAAAACTTAAATGACCAAATATCTGGTTTAAGTCGCCACAAAGAACGAAAAGAAGCGTGTAAAGGAACTCCAGGTATGGGAATCAGTGTTGCATGCGAGTGCTTCCCTAATCACTTCAGGAGAGGCTATGAAAGATCTGTGAAATCGTGTTTTCCGACGTCAGACTGATTCTCCTCTGCCCCAGCAGGCTACAGTCCTCCCTGTCTAACAAGCTTTGAATCTCAGCTTTGGTGGGGAGGGGGCCTTTGCATCCTGTTCCTTCCTTGGGTAACTCTGTAGTGTGGTACTTCCCTCCTCACTATACTATTCCCGTATGCTCTAAAATTTAATCCACATGCTATGGTTCATCATATTTGACTAATTAATGTTTATTTCTACCAAGTTTTTCCTGTTCAGACTCCTGGTGTGTTCTGTCCCTCCTTGCTGGGCACTACTCCTTCAGGAAAGAATTTCCTGTAGAAAAGTTCTCATGTTTGCCACAAATGAATTAATGCTGTTAATTATGGTAGCTCCAACAAGACCTTTTGTGAAATAAAGACTCAGTAAGTGATGCTTTCTTGAACTTTGCCAAATCACCCTAACTAAAATCTACCTTTTCCAAAGCTCCATGGACACTGAAACTCCTCACACTGCTGGCTGAGACTGCTGGTTGAGACTGCTGCAACGGTGGTGCAGCCAATTTGGAAAATGGTCTGGGAGTTCCCCCTAATATGAAACAGAGAAGCACTCTAAACCACCGATTCTACTTCTATGTGTATACTTGAGAGACGCAAAAACACACACTACACAAAAATGTTACATAAATGTCCAAAACAGCACTAGGAATAACGCAGAGGAGAGCCCACCCATATCTTCATCATATTATAAATAAGATACAATATGTGTCTACAGTGAAATATCAGTCAACCCTAAGAGGAAAGGATGGATTTACAAGTGCATTTGCTCCATCATGGAAAGCGGAAAGCACAACATGCAGTAAAAGAAGTCAGAGTGATCACAAAGGACTATATATTGCATGATTCTAATATAGAAAATAAAATATTAGAGACAATGCAGTGCCTCCTGGGTGCCCAGATCTGAGGGTGGGGATTCCAGCAGCAGCAGGAGACAGGAATGAGAACTGCTAATGCATGTGGACTGTCCTTGGGGATGATATTCTAGAATTAGACTGTGGTGGGCTTTGCACAGTCTGTGAACATATTTAGTTGCATGAACTGTACAGTTCAAACACATTTCCATGCCTGTGAATTATGTCTCCATAAAGCTGTTTTGTAAAAATTGCCTTTTTAGAAGGAGGCTTAGTTCTGCCTCTATAGTTCATGAAATGTACCAATGTGATGCTGAAGGAAAGCTAAGATCTCAACCCAAGAAATCACAAAGTCTATTTTTCAAAAGCTCTTATGACTATTTCTGTTTCTATTTGCTTTGAATAAAAACTGTTTTGAGAAACATCTGAGAGGACTGTGGATGGTTCTCAGATGTCTCAGAAATGGCTGCAGGGTAAGCTTCATTGAGTGTGACATAACGTGCAAAGGCAACAGGAGTGAAGGTTACTAAGGGACACATCGAAGCAAACTGCGCACATGTAAATGAATTTCTTATGCCAAAACCTAACGTATCATGGCACCCACGGCCATCAGTAATGCCCAGGAACAGATTCTGCCATGATGGCATCACTCGTGGCGAGTCAGAGACAATTCAGCGATCCAAGGAACCTCCTATCTTAGCATGAGAGTCTCTCATGCAGCTTGCTCATTTACCACTGCTCCTGAGCATATTATTTTATCTAATAATTATAACCAATCCTTTACCCCAAAAAATGCTTCTGTGGTTATTTACAAATTCGCAAAAAAAAATTTTCTGTGTTTATTCCTAATGGAAGGAGAAAAACAGGTACTTTTGAAATGATTAAATCCTTTCTATAGCTTTGTTTCCTGTTACTCTCTCATCTTCTTCCCCCCAGCTCTTGTAAAGCATGGCAACTCAGGAAAACTACAGAAAAAGGCAATATTTTCTTCTTATATCTCTTCTGGTGAGCAATAAGTGTTCCCATGAGACTTTTTCATCATAACCCCAAACATACAAGATGTATCTAATTGCTACTTACATGAGCTGATCTCATATTTAAATCATGTTGATGGCATTTCACCCAAGCTTTGAAAATTGCTTAGGCAATTTCTGCTTACTTATTTGAGTGAATTATAAGCTGCTTGTTGTTTAAGGGTTTTTAAAACCTAATTTTATTCCTTCCTAATTTCACTTCATTTCTTTTGATAGGTCTGGCAAACGGTAGTTATCCAGGAAAAGGGGTCCTAAAAAATATAAAAGGAACTAGAAATATAGCTTTCATCTAGTACAAAATGTAAATTAACATAAGATAAATGACCATAAACATGCTTATATAATTGTAAATTGAATACAAATGTATAAAAAAATCTGGTACAGATGCATCAGATGCTATTAGACATAAAATACTAGATATAAATTGAATATATATTGAACAATAAAAAATCACGACAGAATATAAGCCTTTAAAGAGTGATGAAGGAGGGCACAGAGACATAGGCGGAGCCTCGGTTTTGTGGTGCCTCATCCCGTACGGGCACCAGTGAGTCCTGGCTGCTCCCTTTCCCATCCAGCTCCCTGCTCAAGTGCCTAGGAAAGCAGAGGAGGATGTTCCAAAGCCTTGGGAACTTGCACCTGTGAAGAAGACCTAGAAGAAGCTCCTGGCTCTGGACTTCAGCTCAGCTCTGGCAGTTGCAGCCATTTAGGGAATGAACTTGTAGATGGAAGATTCATTCTCTCTCTCTCTCCCTCCCTCCCTCCCTCTCTTCTTCCCTCTCTTCCTCCTCTTTCTTCTATTCTGTAAACCCACTTTTCAAACAAAGACAAATCCTTTTTAAAAAGTAATAAAAGAAGATCACATTTGTTATAAAATGTAGGGGAAGATTGCTAATTACCTGCTAGAAATATTTATCGACGACTTTATTCCTACAGTTTCAGCTGAATATTTTTTGGTTGCCTTGTTACACAATGAATTTTTTTCTTAAAGTCTTTAATAAAGACTCTTCTCATAGATCTACTGTACATTTTTGATTATTGGCACATAATTACGGGGAGTCATAATTCTAGAAGAAAAAATGTTAAACATTTTGATTAAAGCTCATCAAAATAAACCATGTTTCCAGAGACCACTATGCATCCAGTCACAGTTATTGCCTCTTGATGTCTCACACACAATCCAAATTAATTGTATGCCCAATTCAACCTCCTATCAACTAGATTCCAAAAAACATCTATAACCACTTCTCACCATAATCCAAAGGAAATGGGAGGATACTTCAAAAAGCTATGGAAAAGGGGAATTATGTGAAGCTTAATTGATAGTTTCTAGCTGTACTGCTTCTGATCTGGCTCCCTGATGATGGGAGGGTAGCAGAAAGTGGCATGGACTCCTGCCACCCGTGTCAGAGATCTGGATGAAGTTGCAGACTGCTGGCTTAAGCCTGGCTCAACCCCAGCTGTTGCAGCCATTTGGGGAGTGAACCAATAAACGGAAATTATCTCTCCCACTCTGGCTCTCCCTGTAACTCCTCCCTTCAAATAAATTACATCTTAGACTGTAGAATAGAAAGTCTTTAAAGTAAAGACTAAAATCAAACTTGCTAATGGCCATTACTATACATCAGATCAGAGGGGAAGTGAATCCTAAAAAAGAAGAGCTAGAATTGTAAGTCAGAAAATGTCTGCAGGATACATCTGTAAGAAATAAACATCATGGTGTTTCAAATGTGCTGTAGAGAATAGAAACACCAGAGGGGGCCCACACCTGTATAATGAACTTATCCTTGACAAGAAAACTGAAAAACAATCCAGGGGAAAAGCCTGGTCTCTTCAACAACTGGATAGCACCTTGCAGATTAAGAAGAAAGACCCGCACCTGTCACACTATACAAAAGTCAGTTCTAAATGGTTCAAGGACCTAAATCAAACTATTAAAGGAAAACATAGGAAGCACTGTCCAAGACATAGGAACGGTGAAAGGCTTCTTAGAAAAGGTGCCAAAGCAAAGGCAGTCAAAGCCAAAATGAACAAATATCACACTATCACACTAAAAAACTTCTGTACAACAAAGGAAACAATTAACAAAGTGAAGAAGCAACCAACAGAATGGGAGTAAATCTTGGTATACTATACAAGTGATAGGGGACTAATATCCAGGATTTACAAAGAACTTCATAAATTCAGGGACAGAAAAAAAAAAGCATGAAGAAATGGGCAAAAGAAATGAATAGACATTTTTTCGGAGAACAGATTCAAATGGCTAACAGACATATATGAAAAGATGCTCAGGCTCCCTAGCCAACAGGGAGATACACATGAAAACCACATTGAGGTGCCACCTAACTACATTGAGGTTGGCCTACCTTCAGAACTCCACAATCAATACCTGCTGGCACAGATGTGGGGAGAAAGGCACCCTCCTTCACTGCAGGTTGGAGTGCAGGCTAGTACAACCACTGTGGAAATCAGTATGGAGAGTGCTTGGAGAATTGCAAATAAACCTGCCATATGAACGAGCTAGCCCACTCCTAGGAATATACCACCCCTTCCCCCAAATGAAAACTGCATATGAAAAGGAGATCTGAAATCCCATATTTATAGCAGCACCATCTGCAATAGCAAAGACATGGAAACAATCCAGATGCTCATCCAAAGAGGAGTGGTTAAAGAAACTGTGGTACATCTACTCCATGGAAGATTACTCAGCCATTAAAAATAATGAAATTATACCGTTTGTAACTAGATGGTCCCAACTACAGACCATTATGCTCAGTGCAATAAGTCAATCCCAAAAGGACCAATACCATATATTCTCTCTAAAATAAGGAAGCCATCATGCAAATTTAAAGTTCAATAACCCTTTCTATACTGTTTTTGCTGCACCTCATGTGTTTATTTTATTTTCATTTATTCCAATTTTTTTTTCTCTTGTCAAATTCATCACTGGCTCATGGATCACATGGTGGCATCATTTTACCCAGAAGGCTTTTGTGTTTTTTGTTTGTCAGCCACGTGTTGGGTATTCAGTGGCGCACTTTTTCGACTCCATGGTGCTATAATTTTGTTATTCTTCTTATTTTAATTTCATACCTGTTGTTGACTTTGTTTCTCATTTAAGGGAATGTATAGTGATGGCGTAATAGAGGCTACCATATCCAGATGTGAAGATACAATGCAGTATGCATCCCTACTTACAAATCACAGATGGACTCCCAGTGAAACTGTTGGACATGTTTAGACAATGTGATTCTGGACTATCTGACATTGTCTGTACCAGCCATGTCGGGACACAAATAACAGACTGATGGAATCATGCCTCCATATGAAGGACTATTATAATAATATGGGGAAAATCAGTCAGGGGGTGGGAATCTAAGGGGGTGAAAATTCCAGACCCTATGGAATTGCACCATAAAGTTCAAAAGAAAAAAAATTAAAACGTGCTGTAGAGAGAAACCATTTTTTTTTTTTCAACTGAAATTATTATACAGGATGGTAAGCTGATTCAATGTTCCAACAGGGACAAGCTAGAACAAAGGAAAATGTAACACTGACTTTGCAGGACACTGTGCCAATCCACTCAGTTACATAACTTCATCCAGTTTTCCCATCAACTCTTCTATTTTAGTCAAAGAATTCAGAGTACAAAGATATTAAATAACCATGTTTACAAATAAATGTATACTTTTTATATCATGCACATATCCAAGAAATCACAGCAGAATTAGAACATATTTCAAGAAGGATTGTAATTTTAAAGCAAATCAAGACATACTGGAAACTGACATTGTGCCTAGAAAAGTTATAACTTCATATGCATATATTTAAAAACCCACATTTCTGATCTTCAGTGATTGATCTCCCCAAATCCAAAGAAAAACAACAAATTAAAGTCAAAGAAACCAGAAAGAAGGAAAGAAACAGAAAACAGGGTGTTTGGCCTAGTGACAAATCACATGCTGCTTTCAAATGCCTGGGTTTGATGTAGCCTGGCTCCTGGCCACGGCTTCCTGCTAAGGCAGTGATGGCTCAAGCACTTGGGCATCTGCAGAGTTGGGGAAGGCGCTGGGAGCCGGGGGGTGGGATTCTCAGGTGAAATGGCTGATTGGTGGACGGAGGCTTGGGTTGAGTTCCTGGCTCCTGGCTGCTGGCTTTGACCTTGTAGCGGGAGTTAACCAGCAGCTAAGAGCTCACTCTGTCTCTCACAGAAATAATTTCAAAAGAAGAAACTGAAAACAAATACGCAATCGAATAAGCCTCAGACGTTCCTTCACGGGACCTAAGTCATTTGCCTAAACGACAGAGCTGAAATACAAGGCCAAGGCTGTTGGAGCTCCTGAAGCCCCCGGGGCCTTGTCCACCCCGCGACTCACAACCTGCTCCTGCACTCAGGCCCAGAGTGTGTGGTCTTCACCAAATCCATTCTCGCCACTTCTTGTGCTAGACAGGGCCCAAAAGTAAGCCAAGCCTGTGAGCTGTTCTTGACCTTGCTGACACCTTTACAATGTTTGATGGAGCCCACAGCTTTTCAGTTTTAAAAATAACTCGCTCAATACGTACTTGCTTCCCGCTTATGTGAAATATTTCCTTGTGTATATTCAACAAGAGGCTACTAGGTTAATATTTTAAACAAAGGGGAGAAGAATATTAACATTCTCCACGAAAGATTAAAAATACTCAGAGCACAAAAATGCTGTGTTCCAGAGATTTTGAAGCTGCTCGGCAGCAGGAGTGATGTACGCTAACCTGAGTTAGTCCCAAATCCTTCAGATAATACAGTGCACGCTGGAATCACCAACAAGCGTCACTTCTATCATTCCCTGCTTTTGTGTCTCCATTTGCCCCAGGGTGTTCATATACTCACCTGAGCTATAAAGTCCATGAAAATTGTCCAAGGCGAAGGATTCCGTAGCGTGGACCCAGGAACAGCAGCCTCTGTGACCGTGTTAGGCAGGCGAATCCTCTGGCCCACTCCGACCCTCGAGGTGCAGCCCAGCAGTGCGCCGAGCAACCTCTGCAGGTGGTTCTAATGAACGCTCAAGCTGGAGCGGCTGCAGGTGTTTGAATGACTGGGTTTGATTCCCGGCGCCAGGCTTCCGCTGATGCAGACCCTGGCAGGCAGCAGAGATGGTTTCTGTGACCGGGCTCCTGGCTCAATGTCTGGTTCCAGGCTCCAGCTCCTGACTCAGCCAGGGGGCCAGTGGAGCGGGGAGCGCTCTCTCTCTCACACACACATAAATAATCTTTGAAACATGTCAGAAGCTCACGGGACTCCACAAGTGCATGTCAGCAACGATGATAGAGTTCTTGATGGCTCCAACGAAAATGACGGCTAATTATCAGAGAACTCATCTCAGAGAAATTATCTCAGAGAGACTCCGACGGGAGGGAGGTTCTGTAAGGAGTTATTCCAATATCTCCACCCTGGGCCCGGCGCCATTTCCTCTTCCTCACAGCTCACGCAATTCGCGCCAGTCCAGCCGTCCACCAATCAGCCATTTCACATGAGAATCCCACCCCCCCAGCTCCCAGCGCCCTCCCCAACTCTGCCCACTGACCAATCATTCCTACGCAATCACCTGTGACAGTCTCAGGCACCAATCGCCTGGGGCCCTCAGTCCCTCCCAATCCCCGCCCCGCACCTTGCAGGCTCACCTGAGTGACCGCCTCCACCCCGTTCCTGCCCCGCTGGAATAAACCTCCTTAGATACCCCGTTGGGTCTGGTGTTTTCGGCTCACGGTAAAGAACCAGGCTGCGGGAACTAGCTGCGCATAGTAATATCATATGAACTAGAACTCTTACCTGTTTCAAATAAGTAACAGGTTCCGCGGTGCAGAAACGGGCCATCATCGGCACTTCTCGGCAAACTGCAAGAAATGACAAGAAATGTAATGAGCTCATAACACCGGGAGACCCTTGCCTGGACATTTGCTCATTCACCAGCATAGAATTGCCCTCTCCCTGCCCCAAAAACGGGGCTGAGCGGGAAAACAGAGCAAAAAACCGCCGTCCCAAGGCCACCCAATTAGAAAAGCAACTTGACAGGAGGCAAATGAGATTCACCAGCGCGTAACCTCTCATTATCCCCAGGTGACCGTGCCTGCACTCAGCCCTCAGTGGTTCCCCCTGTCTGCCTGCCGCCTCTGTTTGGAAAAGAAAATGAAGAAAAACGTACCCTCTGCGTTTCCCTTACCTCACAATTTTCAGCTGTACGGCCGCAGCTTGCTCAGTTTAGGAACATCAGTCTTCACAAACTACAGCAGATGCCTGCCTGCCCAACTTTGTTCCATTCTTGCTTTTTCATTTTCTTTCAAGCCAGATCCTTTTTCTTTTCTAAAAAAAAAGAAATCACCAAAAAAAACCCAAAAAAATTTTTAAACGTACTTGAGGTAAAGCATGCTGAATGCAGCTGTCCTGGGGAAAGAATACACATTTTTAACTATTTCTTTCCCCTTCTTGTTTGATTTCTCCCGATTTACACTGGGTAAGTTGCTGAACCCTGAGGTGAAGTATTTTAAGAATCAAAGCTCTCTCCTTCCTGCTTGGGGTCTGCAGGACAATGAAGCAAGGCCACTGTGGCCCTTCCATGTACCTCCTCCACACCCAGGGTCATGCACTGCACATCTGACACAGGAAAGCGAATCCTTTTATTATAATTACTCTGTATTTTACCTTTTTCCCCCCTTAAGATTGATTGATTCCTTTGCAAGGCACAGGAGCAGAGGGAGGAAGGGAGCAGCCCTCTGTTCGCTGGTTCCCTCCTGATGTGTCCACATCCACAGCTTCCAAGGCCGAGCCAGCCTGACACAGCTCTGATGGCAGAGGCCCACGTGCTGGGGCCACTTTGCACTGCTTTGCCAGGCACTTTGGTAAGAAGCAAGCCAGCAAGCAGAATGGCCTGGATTCAGGCCTGCATGTTGGTGAGGGCCACGGCAGGAGAGGGCTCAAATACCCAGCCATCCATCCAGGAGACTTCTAGTGAGGGCCCCTCTGCCCTGGGATGAGGGAGGCACTGCGGGAGTAAAGCAGGGAAAAAGGAGAATTATTTCAGACACACTTTCAAATAAATAAGACTCTGAAAAATCAAAAAGTAGACTTTAGAAAAGAGAGAATTAATTTGAATGTCCATTCATGTATTTGTCAGCTCAGCTTCACTACTGCCCACCTCCTATTTACTTTGGGAGCACAAGAATAACAGGACCTGTAATTCATAGAAAAAAAAATGGTCTTCCGAATCCATAATTACTTTAAACCCAAAAATTCATGTTTACTTCGTTCTGCCTAAAATCATATTCTCTACCCTTCGATAAAACTAACAAAATAGTTTAGTCCTGGTTGTACATTTATATAAAAATATATCTTGAAATCCATTATCTTAAAACATACTCAAGAAGCAAATGTTTGAATTGTTTTAGGTGACTGTACACCTTGGCATTACATCTGTCCATCTGTATATTTCTAACAGTAGATGCTGAACATACACTTCTCAGTTTTATAACACAATTGGGCATTATTTTTTTTCCTCTCATGATTATTCTTTGGTATCAGTTTTACTGAGCTATATTTCTTGTACCATACAATTCATCCAGTTAAATGAGGAAAATATTCAGAATTGTTCCATTATGATGTAGTTTGAACATAATTTGGCTCCCAAATCCAAACAGGATTTTAAACCCCAAAGTTTTAAGTTCATGGTCCCAAGAGAGTGGAAACCTAGCCCAGTTATGGTGCTTGGGCCCTGGGCTTCCGGAAAGGCAACCTCATCACCAGGAATGTGTGCTCAGAAGCAGGCTCCAGGGAGAGGGCTGTTACAAAGCCAGGCTGTGGGCCATCTTCTCTCTCTGCCCCCTGGTTCACCACTGTTGCCCACACATGCTCTGCTGATGCCATCTACCACCCTTCGCTGATGCCAGAGCCTGCATCCAGCAACCAGCACTGTGAGCTAAATAAACTCTCTTTCCTGAATGAGTTGACTGCCTCGGCTATTTTGCTCCAGGAATGAACAGCCGACTGATACAAATGATGGCAACTATGATGTAAGAGGCATGGATCACAGGACAAGAAGACAGAAAGGACCCTGCCTTCTGCAATCACACAAAATCACACTGTGGTTATTTCGACAGAAATATTGGATGTAGCTTTGAGGTTGCAAATTCATTCAATGCATTCACCCGACAATGAAATGCAAGAGAAGGGAAACAAAGACGAGACAGGTTTATTTGTCTTTGCTGATTCATCCAATTTTCCTAATAGGTTTCTACCCTGCTGGACAATAATTACATTGGGACATATCAATTAACAAACTTTAAATGTACTATATCCTTCTTATCTGATGAAATAGAAATTGATAACTGAAGTCATTTAACATAAACAACCATAAAACATATACATCTGCTATCACCATTTTCATTTAAACCATATGTACATGCATTTAATTTTTTTAAAATTTATTCATTTTTATTGCAAAGTCAAATATACAGAGAAGAGGAGAGACAAAGAGAAAGATCTTCCGTCTGATGATTCCCCAAGTGGCCTCAGTGGCCAAAGCTGAGCTGATCCAAAGCCAGGAACAAGAAGCCTCTTCCAGGTCTCCCACACAGGTACAGGGCCCCAAGGCCACAAGCAGGGAGCTGGATGGGAAGCAGGGCTGCGAGGATTAGAACTGGCGTCCATATGGGATCCTGGTACGTTCAAGGCAAGGACTTTAGCCGCTAGGCCATCATGCCGGGCCCTAATATTTTATGAAACATTTAATATATACTAGGTACTAGTCTTGTTAATAATTAATAAAAACATGGAATTACTATGTTGTACAAAATCTTCTAATACTGTTGATACAGTCTGGTATATAGCGAAGTTTGGGGACTTATTGGCTTATTAACTACTGGGTCTAGATTTGTTTCTTTTATACAATTTTTAAAGATTTCATTATCTTAATTGGAAGATTTAATTGGAAAATTAAAGATTTAATTGGAAAAGCAGATCAGATTTATAGACAGAAGAGAACAGAAACATCTTCTATCTGCTGGTTCACTCACTGAGAGGATGCAACAGCCTGAGCTAAGCTGATCCGAAGCCAGGAGCCTCTTCTGGGTCTCCCATGCAGGTGCAGGGTACTGAGGCTTTGGGCTGTCCTCTACTCCTTCCCAGGCCACAAGCAGGGAGCAGGATGGGAAGCAGGACAGCCGGGATTAGAACCAGCAGCCATATGGAATCCCAGTGCTTGAAAGGCAGCGGCTTAGGTATTGAGCCATTGTGCCGAGCCCCGAATTTGTTTCTATGTCTATATTTTTTCCCATTTTGCCAACTGAGATCAATAAATTCGATTTAGAGTATATATGATGGTTTCATTATTCATACTTTTAATTTCCTACAAATTGTTATTAAATATCCTATTATTTTATGTTTTCATTTAATTCCTTAATTAGTCCCTGAAAATGTTCAAGGTTCAGAATCACGTTCATCACTCATTTTAGAATTTGTGGTTTTCTATAGCAGGAGGCACTAAATATTTTACACTTTCTGGGCCTCATGGCCATAGTCACAACTACCGAATTCTGTCATAGTACTGCGAGAACAGCTATGGACAAGCCATAATCACTGAGTGTGTCTTAGTTCTAATAAATTAAAGGTGAATTTGGCCCATGGGCCAGTTTGCCAACTCTTATTTTATAATACTATTAGCCGCAAGCCATCATTTTCTTCAAGTCTGAGCTCATGGTCACTTAGAGCATCAATGTATCACAGTATAATTTCTAACAGTTAAAACACTGACTCCCATAAAACATATAAAGAAAGCATGTATGGAAGATTTATTTAACTTATTAGATGGGATCCACGAAGGCAATAAAGGCAAAACAAAAGAACAGAAGGGAGGCAGAAACAGCTGCAGTCCTTGGGGAAAAAAAAGAACAGCTGAAATAAGGATGCTAAAATACAATGAATACATCTTAAAAGGGTGCATCGGGCCTGGCGCAGTAGCCTAGCAGCCAAAGTCCTTGCCTTGCACACCTGGGATCCAATATTGGCGTGGGTGCTAGTCCCAGCCCCACTTTCCATCCAGCTCCCTGCTTGTGGCCTGGGAAGGCAGTCGAGGACAGCCAAGGCCTTGGGACCCTGCAGCTGTAAAGGAGACCCCGGGGGAGGCTCCTGGCTACTGGCTCTTAGCTCCTGGCTACTGGCTTCAGATTAGCTTAGCTCTGGCTGTTGCAGCCACTTGGGGAGTGAACCAGTGGATGGTGGATCTTTCTCTAGTGTATCTGCCTTTCCATTACGAATAAAAATAAATCTTAAAAAAATTGTTTTTTCTGTGTGTGTGTGTGTGTGTGTGTGTGTGTGTGTGTGTGTGTGTATGTACTTCCCAGGGCAAGGCCACATGCAGGGCTCGAGGGCAGGTCCCGCTAAGGTTCCAAATGATACTCAAGGTCGGTGGTTACCCATAGGAGTGACTCCTCCAGATGCCACCAGACTTCCATTGTTGTCATGCCCAGCCCAGGTGAAGCCTCAGACATGGTAGGGAAACATTCAGCCCTGCCTCTTGCGATCTGTCCAAATCCCTGAGCCACAGGCACAGAGGACGTTAACAGCTTTCATTATTTTAAGCCACTTTTAGGGTGACTGGTTAAGCAGCACTAGAAAATTGATGCAGCTACTATGGTTCAAGAGGGTGTCTCAAAACATCCAATGTCACATTACAGACAAAAGCTCTGAATTCATCCAGATCGATTTTTCGAATTACAAGGGGAAAGTTCATTCCTAACATTTCTAGGATGTCTTTACAAAAAGCAATTTTCTGGGCCCGGCGCGATGGTGCAAGTGGTTAAGGTCCTCGCCTTGCACGCCCCGGGATCCCATATGGGCTCCGGTTCTATCCCGGCAGCCCCGCTTCCCTTCCAGCTCCCTGCCTGTGGCCCGGGAAAGCAGTGGAGGACGGCCCAAAGCTTTGGGATCCTGCATCCACGTGGGAGACCCGGAAGAGGCTCCTGGCTTTGGATCAGCATAGCATTGGCTGTTGCACTCACCTGGGGAGTGAATCATCAGACGGAAGATCTTCCTCTCTGTCTCTCCTCTCTCTGTATATCTGCCTTTCCAATAAAAAAATAATAAAAATAATCTTTAAAAAAAAAGCAATTTTCTGCTCTAGCTGCAATACCTTAGATGTTACTGTGCCTTTTTTTAATTATTAAAATTTATTCTTGAAATTATTTTCTTTTAAACATTATTTTATTTCAAATGCAAAGAGAGAAATATCTAATATTCACTCATCAACTACCCAAATGGCTGCAACCGTGCAGGATGGGCTGGGGACCAGAGCAGCCGAAAGCTGGAGCCCA